AGAGACAGAGGTAAGGGCACCGACAGATCAGAATTCAGACCCAAAAGATATCATCATATACATAGATGAAGCGTGGACATAGATGGATACCATGCAAAGAGTGGAAAACCATAGGTCAGCATGGGCATAAAGATGGCAGCTGCTTTTAAAGCATGGTATCGGAGCAAAATGCTAATATAGGAAATTGTATCAGACGGGCCTTACCAGACAACAGCACGGTGGTAGTGCTCTAAATAGACCATGGAGATGGCCGCTGCTGTTAGTTCATTAGTATGGGTATCTGAGCAAACCACTACACAGGCAGTAATTGTATCAGACTCCATGAATATGCTTCAGAAGAGAGCAACAGGTGGTATGCACTCTGAATGGGTAGAAAGCATAAGAAAATCGCACTTAACCTCCCTCGCCTGGATCTACACATCTGGTCATGCAGGCATAAAGGGTAATGATCAAGCGGACCAACTGGCAAACAATGCACCAACACAAGTGGGAAGAAGCATGGTCAGAGCAGATATAGTAAATGATGTACGGGCTGGGCTGGTCGATAATGAGGAATCCCTGACACTAACACGACTGCGTAAGATGGGAGTAAAGCATGATGAAGCACGTCTATGCCATCTTGGAGGCCGAGATAGGAGACAATATAACCAGCTACTCATAGGAACAATTAGTAGAAGTACCTTGGAGTGGCTGCTGCATTAGAGAACTGAGCACGCATGGGAATGCCCAATGTGCAGTGACGTCAATTGTGATAACATAACATAACTTATGAAAACTTTAAACTGATTAGAATAATTACACAAACAACACTGGCTATTTTATAAGATTTTTTTTTTTCATTTTAGGAATTCTTGGGTTCATGGCCTTTCACCAAGGGTTCTGGGGTGAATGGGTTAATAAATGTTTATTCAACATTATTTTAGTCATTCTCCATGTTTCAGCTCCACACAGAAGTATTGATTTGACATAAAGCATTAGCCAGATTTTATTTTAGTGCTTCCCTGCTTGTCTAGGGTCAAGAGAAACAGAGAGATGCAGACAGACAGAGAAATAAAACAGAAGAAAAACACGAGACAGAGAAAGATGTGATGGAGACAGAGAGAAAGACAAGAGAGATAGAGATAAAGATCGTCAGCAACATCATCATCACTGTCCCAAAACCAAGTGTGTTGTCTGGTCTGTTGACTATTTGACCAGTTCCCTCCACTGTTGGCCAAATGCAATGGACTTCATGCTTGCATGTTTGAGGGCTATCCAGTCAGCCAAATTCTGTTTGCTGGTATTTCTTGGTCTACCTGTTTCCTTCTAATGAGCCGTGTAGTTTTGTTTTAGAGAGGCCAGTAGATTTTAATTATTGCCTATGCGTACCATTTCATTTTCCATTTGTTTACTTTGTTAAAGGAAATTCATAGTTGCCAATGTGTTGAATGATGACAAAGAGAGTTTACTTTATGTCAGTGTGATTGAGCAGGCAAGGCAAAATTCTCCTTTACATTAGAACATGTCGCTGAGCTTATATAATCAACCGTAACGCATGCACTGCTGAAGTGAGTGGGGTGCCCTTGTATTTATGAATTATATAAAACAAAGCAAACAAGTGCTGTGAAACATTAAGCTGTAAAACATTAAGTTAATTGACATAAAGTAAGCTAAAGAAACACATGCATTCAAACAAACAGTAATGGAGAACTGCCAGCTTAGAATGTACCGCGACAGTTTACTGAATTACACATGCTGAACAATGTCCACAGTTGATTCTAGTGATTTACAACATCAAACAAACAATGTTAAATATGAAAGCAACATAAGCAAAGTAAACTGTGAAAGCAAACTATGAGACATTACACATATACTGTAAAAAAGAAGATACAATGAAAGATCAGTGACTTAAACATGCATTATGATAATTAGTTGTAGTGTTCTTTAAAATTTACAGGAAGCAAACAATGTTAAACATTTGAATAAGTGACATAAAAAGGCATTTAAGATTGTCAGAATGCTAATAAGTGAAACAGTTTACCACATTCACCCACTTTATATCTTACTTCAGTTCCTTTTTGCCCTTAAGAGTTGTTAAGTTAACCCTGTCAATTTCAGCTTTTCATTTAATTATTGTAGTTCTGATCAAATTTGCTTCTGCTCCTACTTTTCCTTCTCCTCCTCCTATTTCTTATTTGTCATCCTACTTCCCACCTCCTCCTCCTCCTCCTGCTGCTGCTTCTTCTTCATTTTCTTCTTCTTCTTCTTCTTCTTCAGCCAACTCCTGCTAAGCCAGCCTATCCCTTGCTATCCCTTCATAATCTCCTCATGTTTCTAATACTCTTCTCCATGTGTTTTAAAATCTCACTCTATTTCTGTTGTCCTGTTCCATTGCAGGTATATTCTAGTTTTATTACCAGGTTTTCTCAATGCAGATCCTATCCATCACCAGCATTTTTTCCTCACTTGTTAATTCTGAAGAATACAGCTCTATGGCGCAGAGATTAGTTAAATGGTTTCACAAGGCAATCTTCTACATTTACTAGGGTTTGACTCTAGTTGTGGCAGCTGAGAAAAAGACCGTTCTCATTGACTTCAGACTGTGGTATGAGTTGCACCGTGAAAGAGACTATACTTCACCACGTAATACTGCCATTTTTAGCAGTGGAAACATTGAAACAAATCTCCACTAGGAAAATGGCACAATATTTTTTTTAAGTCTAAACAATGGTTAATTCATGTCTATAATTTTCAAAGCTTTATTAGTTTTTAAAATATTTGCAAGAACCAAGTGACTGTGAACCTGCAACTATGACCATACTGGAAGAACAACAAGTTAAAAGAGGTGTGGCCAGACAAGAGAACTATGCAGGAAGCCAAAGAAGAAAAAGAAACCAACACCAGAAATGGTGTCGTCAGCTGCTACATGCTGCAGGATTTGCTGAGAAGGAGATCCGAGCACTTATGGACTGAACAATTCAATGTGCAATGAGGATAATCTGTCAACTAACTAAGTTAGTTAGTTGTGTATTCTTTACAGGATATTGCAGAACCAATCCCATCATTTTTTGGCTGTTGTGGTTTTTCTAGGCAAATTTAAGTCGTAGTTTGCCATTGCTTTCTTGACGGTCAGGTTTTCAATACCACTGTCGAAACCAGCGCACGGCCTGCAGCTGGGATCGAACCAGGAACCCCCACATTATGAAGCGCAATGCCTAAGCTACACAGGCCAACAATTAACTAAGTAAATTAAAAAAAAAAAAAAGGCTTTTTGTGACACAAAGCTTTAATTAAATATTCATAAATTTCGTAAAACTAAACAAATGTAGTTCTAATGTGCAAAATTTCAATAGACAGTGCTGAAGTAACAACTGCTGCCTGCGAGTGAAACAGTTCATTTTTAAAATTAGTAGATAAATAATATCCAGCCAGTAAAGTCTTGTTCAACAGTGCAACAGCATGCTCGAAATTACAGAAAAAGTGTGGCATGCAGGAACCTATATCTGCATATACAAGAGGATTAATATTTTTAAAACAGCTTATTTGTATTTTAGTTTTGAAAGATTCATTTATTTGCTTCATGTTAATCAATTTTTCATTGTAGTATGCACATGATCAAATACAGTAAAATATGCCAAGTAAAAAAATGTGAACTCTGTAAAAATACTAAAACCACTCATGGGAGGACATAAAAATCAAGAGGAGTTTACAGAATCGCAATAGCAAACAATAGAATGGCTTGGCAGGAGTTTTACTGAGGACCTCTGCAACAATGGTGGATAAAAAGCATAAGAATAAACTGGAAGCCCCAGAAAAACCAGCTCCTCATAATAGTACATCAGTAAACCAACAATATAACATAAACCAATATATGTTCAATATATGTGCTAAAATGTTACATAGAACCTGTATGGCAGCAAATCTTGGAATGTCAGTGAACAAATTTGGAAGAATTTGGAAGCAACAGAGATGTAAGTTCTGAGATGAATGTTACGAATACCTTGGACGGCCAGAGTAACTAACAATGATTGTTTGAAAGAAGCTAATGAAAGTAGATCTCTAAATACAACAATAAGGGGGGCCACGTTAGCGCAGTCGATAAGAAGCTCGTTTTCAAATCCAGCTGCGACTCGCTGCAGCCCACGGTCCGTGTTCAAAACCGGGCGGCTCCCGGGGTTCATCCAGCCTTTAGGAAATGGGTACCAGAGTGATACTCTGGGGTAAATGGAGGAACGTTGCTGTAGCTACAGAGTTAAGTGCGAACAGCGACACAGGGGGACAATTCTTATCAGCTGTCAGTACTGGTGGCAGAGCACTTATGGTTTATAACCATGTGCAATGACGCTGGTTCACATCTCCAGACTTTACCTTTTTTTTTTTAATACAACAATAAGAAAGAGACAAACACTGTTCTTTGGCCACATAATGAGAAGAGAGACACTGGAGAACATCATGACAACTGAAAAGATCAGTTGAAAAAAGGGTAGAGGCAGACCAAGAGAGATAATGCTGGATGGGCTGAAACGATGGCATGGAGGGATATCTTTAACAGAGCTGTTCCAGGCAACCAGGGATAGTGATCTAAGGAGACGCTTGAGCACCTATGCCAGTTGGCAGGGTACATTAAGATGATATCAATTTATCACTGATGCTGCTTCAAGCTTGCTTCACATACTAAAGCTCTGAGCTCTCTGTCATATGTTCTGATGTCTCATCCCCTTCTTCTTCTCAGCATTTATCTGCTGTAAATTCCAGAGGGAACTTCTGGTTTTCTGTACACTTCTGCACTTCGGTCTTGTTCCAAAACTCGAATTTTGCATGCACATACATTTTACAGATTTTGCTTTTTTGTGTGTGCAGACTGTTGGTTTTTTGCCTCTCAAGCAGATGAGCTACGACTTTAAGGGAAATAACCTGAATTAGTTATATTTTACGACATGCTTGTTAGAGGGGCAAAGAGTCTTTTTGTTTACTCCAAAACTGGGTCCTGGAACCCACACTGGGAGTCTCAACCAATGCACCAGTCTCTCGTGCAGTTTTACAATGTATACTGTTGATATATTTTCATTGTATCTAATAAACAAAGAAACGTGTAATAAATGGCAATCACAGACAGAAGCAGAAGAAAACCAAACAACATATATACCAAAAGCTATACCCTATCAGGAATCGAGCCAGTCATCTCCAAAAGATGATGGAGCTTTTCTGCAGGAATAGTAGTAGAAGTATTACTTTAACCCCACCAGGACATCACACAAGCGATAAACACCCAATGACACAAAGTGCCACCATGCAGAAGAGGATCACCCATGGAGAGCTCCTGGAAACAGCGTTCAGCCATTAGGCCATATTTATGGCCGGGATATATTGCAGTCCCTTGCAAGAGCCAGGGTGGGGCTTCAAAATAACGAAAAATTGCATCCCACAAGGGGGTGACTGTTCTATGTTACATCTGCAGGAATAGATGAACTTTAAGGCCTGACCAACTTGACACCCATAGGGTTTATATGGCCTCAAGGTTCCCCAGGTGTTTACTTCTATTTATTTACATAACTTGCTGCCTAACTATACTATGCTATATTTCTAAACCATAATATTTATGACTCTGATAATATTTTGTTTTGTAACAGTTCATTTCTGTTCTGTATGTCAGAGAAAAATATAGGTCCTGTTCATGTTTCCAGACCAAGGATTAGAGTAATTTCCCTTGCCATTCATACCTCTTTAGGTCACTGCAAATCTCCTATGTTGCGGGAGTGTTACAGATGGTCTTGTTTGGCATTCGCTCAGCATTAGTAATGTTTGTAGGAGGTTGTGTTGTTTCAGTCTTTTTCAGGCGCCTACGGCTAATCTGTGTACAAGTAAAAAGTACTGCAGGGGAAAGCGCCGCAAGTGCGACAACCCCCCCCCCCCTCCCCCCAAGAAAGAAAGCAGTTACAAGGAGAGTAGGATTACATAAATATCCTGTTTCCTTACATCGAACCGTTGCACAGGTAGCAGAAACATGAAGATAATCACGCAAGCAAATGGTAAGAAGATGAGAAAAGAGCAGACAACAGACAAATCAGCAAGTTAATTAACAAATGAAACAAAAGGCAAATTAGTAGGTTCATTACCAACTAAACAAACAAATGAAGCAAGCTAATTCACAAATCAAATGAGAGTCAAAGTAGTAAGTTAATTACCAAATATAAAACAACAAAACTTGAATTATGTATTCTCCCTTAATGCAGTACTTGGCATATTTAACTGTGGTTTACAGCTAGGAGCCTTTCAGTTCACATCCGATTTCAGCGAAAAGGTAATTTGTTGCCTTTTACTGAAAATGAATTCCTGCGTTGATAAGTGAGTGCACCTACCACCATGCCATCATGAATCTTTAAATAATATTTATGTGATAAAAAGGAGCCACCATGGTGTAGAGGCTAGACGTTGGCCAGCAGATCTGAAGGTGGTGGGTTTAGGTACTGACAAACCGGACTTTTTTTTCAAAACTGACCTTGGCTCCCAAGTCTACCCAGGCTTAATGGGTACAGGTAAAGTCCTGGGAAGTAAAGACAGCCCACATGATGTTGACCACATCACCGGACTGAGTGCCCAATGGTCTAAAAAATACAGGTCTAGCCCTATATGCCCAATACGCTTTTAAGGCATGGAAAATGGTCCTTTTATGTGATAAAAAACACAAGAAGGTAGGTAGGTAGTTGTAGCTCCCCCAGGACATCACACAAGCGATAAACACCCAGTGACAAAAAGTGCCACCATGCAGTAAAGGATCACCCGTCGAGAGGTCCCAGAAACCCCTTTCAGCGGTTAGGCCATATCTATGGCTAGGCCATATTTATGCCTCGGCTTTATTCAGGGCCCCAGGCAGAAGCCAGGGTGGGGCTTCAAATAACAACAAAAATTCCATCCCATGTAGGGATGACTATTATAACACAAGAAGAAGAAAATTTGAAGTCCTAGAAAAACCCTGCTCCTCATTACTATATATCAAATTATCAAAACTATAACACATTAGAACATGTATCAATATATGCTCAGTATGTAAATTTGCTTCCCTGTGTGGTTTCTAGGGCCCCACTTCAGTTGGGGGAAAAGAATAGACCCACTGCCCCCCCCCCCCCCCCCACCCCAACAAGCTTGTTGTAAGAGGAACTAATTAGGGATGTTTCTTTCAAAGTTGGAGTGTATCTCCCTGAGAGGCAGGAAACCAACAGTCTGCATACAACAAGCCAGATCTGTAAAATGGATGTGCACACAAACTCAAGTTCTGGAACAAGACTGAAGTCCAGAAATGGATGCACAAGCAGAACTTTCCATCACAATTTACAGCTGGTGAACATAAGCTGCAAGCTTGGCTTCAGGAGAGACGTTTTGAATATCTGTACTCATTGTCATATGTCAAAATAATGTGGTGACAGCACTAGTCATGCTGCCTTAAATACTTCTGTTCCCTCCCCCAAACCTACACAATTCATAAATACAGGCACGTAAAAACAGCTGAGGTATAACAACAACAAGAAAAGAATACACAAAGCTGTCTCTAGCCACATAACCATGTTTATAGGGACTCATCTGCAACATGTACTACACACTGAACTCACCCATTGCCCCAGTCTATTCTTGTGACCACCTGCTTTTTCATCTCTTCTGCATGCTCCTTGGTCAATGTATTGGATACTAGACTGCTGCGAAATTTGCACAGCTCTCCCATTACAATGAAGATTGTTTGAAACAAAGGTCTGCGACTCTTAATTGGTTAAAAAAAAAAAACAAAAATGTATGCAAAAGGCATTTCTAACAACAACAACAAAATTTAAAGCCCCTTTACCCACTACTAGTATCTTGGACATATTGTGCCATCTCTACAGATCAGCTGTGATGTCAATTGTTGACTCAACTCAACTCAACTACAGATCAAATGGCCCTGAGTGGGTGATGCAGTCAACATTATACGAGCTGTTTTTACTTCCAAGGACATTTCATTGTACCCATTTTGTACTGCGCTGACCTATGAGCCCAGCTAAATTATAAAAGTCTGCTATGATATCGATTAGAGGTATTTCTACAGCCAAGTAAAAATAACTGGATAACCCTTTCATCTAGGAAACCATTAGGGAAAAGGGACATACCCCAACAAAAACAAAATCCTTTAAGAATATAACCAGTCTACACAGGTCAGTAATAATATGTTGAAACATTTATTTATTTACATTTCAAACTTTCTGATACATGTATGAAGGTGTACTTTCATCAAACATGAAGAAAGTGGAGAATCAAATGATTACCTTTCCTTTAAACAGAGGGGAGAATCAAATGATCAGCTTCCCTTTGAGGTAATCAAAAATGTATAAGGTAACTCATTCCATGACTCCTGTCACTATGTGATCATAACTGTTAATCCCTGCTGTCTCATTTCATCGTCCCCTTGTGGGATGCAATCTTTTGTTATTTTGAAGGCCCACCTTGGCTGTTGCCAGGGACCCTTTTTTTAACCTAATGGTTGAATGGGGTGTCCGGAACTTATCCACGGGTGACCCTTATAGGCATGGTGGCAATTTGTGTCACCAGGTGTTTATCACTCTGTGTGATGTCCTGGTGGGGTAAAACTTATTTAATCCCCATGAGTATAAGGCACAAATGTTTTGTTAATTTGAAGCCTCACCCTGGTTGTCGCCGGGGGCCCTCATATAACTCAATTGTTCAATAGGGTTTACTGGGACCTCTACATGAGTGACCCTTACCTGAATGGTGACACTTTGTGTCGCTGGGTGTTTATCCCTCAGTGTGATGTCCAAGTGGGGTTAAAATTCAGCAGTCAGTCATCGTAACTACTAAAGGTGAATTATGATATCGTAAGGACTAAAAAGCCTTTTCCTTTCACAATAAACCCCATAAAAATAATTTTTAGTAATTATAATCAAATCTGCCCCTTCTGAATAATGTGCAGTTGCAAACAGTACCAATGCTGATATACAGATATAATGGTGATTGGAGAAAGCTGCATTGCCAGAATATCAGCTATTTAGGGATTTGTAACGGATGGTTATGCAGAAATACTGTCATCTCGCAGCTGATCATGTTCTTAAGCAAATTATCCTCTCATTTTATACTCTATGTTCTTAGTAAGTTTGACCCGAAAATAAATTTCATAAAGGTATGCTGTTGAACACGCTGATCCATAAAGGGTTGAGAACATAAAACAGTGTTTACCACAAACAATGACTTCCATTGTCCGTGCCATTCTCTCAAGACAAAGGTCACTTCCTTGATAATGGCATCTTCCACAGGAGTGATAACTTCATGGGGTCTGAAAATTTTAGAGAATGTGAAAGGTTGTCAATTGTTAAAAACAAACTCAGGCTGTGATGGTGTAGTTTGTGCAGCAACCATTCTGAAGGTTCAATGATCTTACAACAACCAAACTTGGTCACTTGGGAAAATGACTATTTCATCACAAGTTTACTTGAATTTAAGAAAACTTGCTGGCTGATGGTTAAGAATGATGGGCCCTTATGTGGGAGATTCAGGTTTGAATCCTTATAAGGTAATGGGTTTCTTATGGATCCAGCAAAAAAAACAATCTGAACCTGGTCCATAGCAACTGCACTAGTCACTTAGATCCTATAAATAACCTCACTCTTTACACAGTACAACTGGTATACACAGGTAGTTATGACAGTTTACACAAACAAAATAATACTTTGTCACATAAATGTATCCTAACGTGAGTTTCAGGGCTAATTAGTGCTACTTCCTTCAAACATGAAGAAAGAAGAAGGAGTGGAACAAAATATAGATATATTCGTGAAATAGATATATTTGTGACACCTCTAAAGACCATTTTCATTAATTAGTGCTTTTTCCTTCAAACTTGGAGAAGAAGAACAAGAAGAAGGAGTAGAAGAAAATGTAGATATATTTGTGACTTTGCTATATTTGTGACACTTGAAAAGACCCTTTTCATTAATTAGTGCTACTTCCTTCAAACATGAAGAAGAAGAAGGAGTAGAAGAAAATATAGATATATTTGTGACATTGGTATATTTGTGACACTTGTAAAGACCCTTCTCATTAATTAGTGCTATTTCCTTCAAACATGAAGAAGAAGAAGGAGTGGAAGAAAATATAGATATATTTGTGACATTGTTATATTTGTGACACTTGAAAAGACCCTTTTCTTGCCAGCACATTTCCTGGTACTCATGAAGCACATTACTGATCTGCAGATTTAGCTGGTTGGATCTCACATGGGTCAGTCAGGGTTTATAAGACTGAGTCTGTATTTTCACAAACTTTAAATGACCAATTCTGGCATCAAAGAATAAAGGTCAAAAGCAAAAGTAATCCTATGTTAGACACTACCACTGGCATATTCTTCTTCTTCTTCTTCTTCTTCTTTTTCTTCTTAGCATTCCCCAGCTGTAAACTCTGGCAGAATGTTCTGGTTGTTTGTCCACTCCTGGATTTTGGTCTTGTTCTAGAACCCGAGCTTTATGTGCATATTTATTTTACATATCTGGATTATTTGTATGCAGACTGTTGGTTCCTCACCTCTCAGGCAGATGCATTCTGACTTCGAAGGAAATACCCATAATTAGTCCCTTCTCAGAAATTTCTTATAGGGGGCAATGTGTCTATTCTTTTCCCTTCACAATAGGGCCATGTAATCCACAGTGGGAACTGGAGCATGAAGTGTTAGGCTTTCAACTCAAATATTCTAGATCATGATATATGAGACAGGCTGATCAGTTCTCCTTTCTGTTGCCTTTAATTTCCTTGACAAATCCTAGAGCATTCAGAAATCTGTATGGCTCCCATTTTTATGAGACTGTGCTGCCCCTAGAGATTCCTGTTACAAAAAAAATTATCCAACCCCTGATGGGGATTTTTTAACCCATACTTTTGTTTTAGCAGGCAAACACTATAGCCACTATGCTACTGTGGCCCTTCTAACAAAGAAAAACAAAAAATAACACACACACAAGTTTAACAAGAAAGCCCAGACTCTGTCTGTATAAAGAAATTTATATGAACTCTGCCTTTATAAACACAAACTTTACAACACTCAAGCCCCTAATAAGTACACTGTTACCAACCTGAAAACAACGGACTTAGCTATGGAATAAGATAAGTAACATACCCTTAAAATTCAAGACAAAAATATGGGATTTTCAACTGTTTTTACGCAGTGGAATTATTAAACCCCTCAAAAATTGAATTTTTAAAAACTATTTCGTGTGTAGCAATTTTTTTTAAAGACATAAAGATGAATTTGTAATGGTTAAGAACTGTGCAACATTTTAAAATTTTATAAAAAAATGTTTCTAATATTTTTTTAAGATCAAAGACATAATGGAGACATGTTATGTTTAAAGATAACTGAATGATTAAAGAAATGAAAAAGAAATGTTCAAATGGTTTAAATCAGTAGAATGGTTAAAGACATTACAAAGAACTATAATAATGTTATAAAGAGGTAGAGTGATTAATGAATTATTAAGAGCTGTTCGTTTTTTTTTTTTTTATCTGTGAAATGTTCAAAGAATTTAAATCTGTTCAAAATCAACCAAATAATAAAGAACAGTTCTGAAATGTAAAACTGTGCAATGATTAAAGGATATTTTTTTAAAAACCAAAAAACTGTCCTAATGATTTAAAACCGCAAAACAACAATTTGCAAATTGCATTTTTGTTAATGTATGCAAGGAAAGAAAAGCTATATCTGTACATGCTGCATTAAAGGAACAAAAAGAGACCAATATAAACATGGAGAAGGGATTAGAAGTGAAAAAAAAAAGAAGGGAAAGACATCAGGTGAGCTACATGCAATATAAAAGCTTTGTGTGAGTTGGTTGAGGGCCTATGCTCTAACGGGGGGATAACGGGAAGGAGAAGAAAACTACATTAAAATTGATTTGGCAACATGGTTGGAAGAAGATCAGCATCAGAAATGACTGACAATACACGTGACAGTAACACCAATGGAAGTGAGAACAAAAAGTCAGAAATGACTAAAATTTCAACTGTAACTAATACAAATACTCAATAGAAATAAAAATCAAGTACTAAAGACTGGGAAAACCCTCACATCCCTAAAGAGATATCACTTCATTGTGAAGTGTACTTGACAATCTGTTGTAACTCATCCACTCATATGATTTCAGTTTAGGCGAGGGCAGTGAAATAAATCAGTACTTCACGACTACTTTTCCCACCAATGATAAGTGTTCAAGAGCTCTAGAGACCTACAACTGATAGCATACCACAGACCTGACCCAGTTGCCAGTTCGTGATAATTCACCTGTCAAGTCAGTCATTTTCATTCTTGTTCTTGTTGTTGAATTAATTAAGCGAGTGGAGTTGAGAACTGACATCACAGCACATTAGATAATTCCAAGAAGTTCCCCATGTGGGTTCTGGGGCCCCACTGTACAGACTCACCACCTCCCCAACAAGCATGTCGCAGGAGTCCACTAATTGGTGGCATCCTTCGAAGTTGGAGTGCATCTGCTTGAGAGGCAAGGAACCTAGTCTGCATAGAATTAAGCCAGATCTGTAAAAAACAGATTTGCACCCAACACTCAGGTTCTATAAGAAGATTAAAGTCTGGAGGTGGACAAGAACCAGAACAAACCGCCAGAGTTTACAACCGGTGAACGCAAAGAAGAAGATTATTCCCACAAGTACTTCATCATCATCTTCGATATCTAA